CGGTTGACATAACACACATTGCACGCATATGGCTTTTTTTGTTTTGATTGTACATAACATTATATTGTACAAGAGAAAACAATGAATGCGCTTTGGTTTTGGTGGGACGAGGCAGGATCGACGTTTTCGGGAAAATATATTTTAAAGTACACTACTAAAGGCGTGGTTTATTTAAATTTACACGAATCTCCTCGGTGTAATACGCATTGTTAAACGTATGGTGCTGCCTAGTGATAGCGTATAAAATATGTTATTACTGTATATGGTCTGCTGGTATACATGCGGTTTGTCGTCCGTCATTTTCGGTGAACTGGTAAATTGATTATTCGCCAAGTACATTTTTGGCAACCGACCAACAGCACCAGTACACGGTCACACTATAAGTGGATCCCTTGAAAAAAGAGCGGCCGATGAAATTATCTGCACAGGTGTCATGGGCAAGTAGTGAAAATTGGTAAAAAAACAAATTCAGATTCTAGAAAATCCCAAAGCATTCCACAAGTCTAAGTCCAGGTATTATATTATACAGAATAGATTTCAGAAGAAAAGAGAAGACATATAATATATAAATATAGTTTATTTTTAATGCATTTTTATGGCGTGAATCATTAATGCCCACTGTAAGCTTTTAATATTAATTAACATATTTTCTTAGTAAAAAAACAGAACTAATAAAGCGCGACAGTTTATCGACCGGTTAAGGTACGTGCAGAACTTCACAAAAGTAAAGTGTTTCACGAGGATTTAGAGATTTCAGCGCAGAGAAAATATTGTGCTTTGGTATTAAAGAAAACGGCTGTTTTGTATCTCAGGCCGGCGATGAGTTTTATTTATTGTACAGCGCGTTGTCAAGTAGGTAAGTACTAAGTAGGTAAGTATAGCGAACGTTTGAAGTTTGTATCAAAAGTGTTTTGAAAGTATATAGTCGTCAACAGTTGCTCGCTGTTTTCGGGTAGACTGGCGGTGGAGAGGGGGAAAAATAACAATACGGTAATCAAATGAATCACAATATTATTCTTTAAAATTAGAACTGTTTACCGACTGATTACAACTTTGAACATTTGAAAAAAATACAAAGTCTAACCAAATCTTATACAATAACTAATTCAAGCAGCCTCTACATTTATTCTTATTTCAACAAATCTCTCACTACAAAATTAATGTAGGTATTTTGAAAAGCACTAATTTTAAGTTTTAAGCTTTTTAGTATCCCCCAGCCTGTAATCGCATTTTCAAAAAACTACCTTTTTAATAAACTAATGTGCTGGAAAACAAATACAAGTGTTTCCTATTTTTTAAATTTTTTGTTTGCATTTATCAGAGTCGCTTTTTTTTACAATGAAAGATACGACAACAAGCAAAAATATGTATATTCTAAAAATTTGGAGTTACACCAATTTTTTCAATGAACGACTCATGTGTAAAATATAATTTTCAACTTTGTGGCGGGTAAGGCTTAGAACGGTAGTAATCTTTCTAGCCTTCTTAACAGAGACTATTTGAATAAAATAGACGAAGGAAATTCTTGACAAGTTTGCTATTAAACTAATCGAAAAATTAAATTTAATGTAAAAAATAAATCATAAAATATAAAATGTATATGTTATTGATAATTTGTTTTTAATAATGTGTTAAGAGTGTAGGCCCCTTACGGCTCCATTTTCTATATAAGAAGTTGCTTTGAGTAAAAATTTAGTCGGCCCAACTATTTTTATTTAGTTATTCTAACCAGCAGAAATGTATTGTTTCCCAAAAGTAACCATAATTATTTTAGTTGGACCTACTATGTATTTTTTCTGTGTAGTTGTGTAGACGGTTACCTAAGTGTCGGTGTAAGCGGATCCCGCATAAGCTGATTAGTATATAGACGTACAGTATGTAGGATAAAATTGTACTTCATCCCCCGTTTGACCCCTTTATATAATCGGGCAAGGCTCGAGCCTGCTATTATCTATACTATTACACGGAGGACAACGGTCAGGGCGATAATGTATTCCATTTCCGGGGGGGGGGGGTCTTGACGTCGTTTACACCGTAATTAAGTACCTACCCGGCACACACAGAACCGCTTCGGTTTCACCATATAAGTTTGTGTAAAACAATAATTATCATAACGATAAGGTTATTCGCCTGTGCATAGAGACGGACAGCTAGAGAGCGGCAAAACTTTAGGCAAAGACACGGGTCGTCGCCAGATTCCAGACAAAGAAATTATAATGTGTGTGTGTGTGTGTATACAACACTTAATGTATTCTATAAGAAAAAAACTTTTCTGCGCGCTATATCTCAATGGAAACGACTCGGCCGGGAATTAATTTTCGAACTTTAATTAATAACTCGGTTCACTGTGGCGGGCTCTCTATGGATTTCGAATAAATCATGTTTGGGCGAGTCGCGGTAGGGGGGCAAGAGGAGAGAGACGTCTGAGGAGGGCAAAAAATAAAAAGGGTTTACAATCGGCCGAACATTATAATAAATTTCGGGGGGTTTTTTTTTTTTTTAATAAATGCGCCGGCGACCGACCGACAGAGGTGGTGGCGTGAAAGTTATTGGAAGGAGACCAAGAACGGCGGCGGCGCCATATTTTACTATATAAAGAACGTCAATCGCAGGTGTCTCGAGGACGAGGACGTGGGAAGAGGGTAGTAGACCTGTGCGTGAAGGGGGAGAGCACTATGCGTGTAACAGACGTGCCGGCTTCAATTTGCCTTTTATAATATATATAATAATAATAATATGCTCTTTTTGTTTTTTATTATATTATAATTAGAAAACTTGACACTCGACTACGGCTATTGCGTTCGGGTCTACCGCGGCGGCTACCGTTGAGCAAATGTCGATTTGCCGCACTGAGTTTTTACTTTCTCCAAGTACCTAACTGTATATTATGGTGGCTGAAAAGAAAATGAATTTCGATGTCTTTGAGAGCTTATGTTGCCTATAGAAATTAAATAAAATAACACAAAACGCTACACACGCTCTAAGATGTGACATGGCTAATATAGATGAGCTAATAATTAATATATAAGAACAAACCAACGCCAAGATCACCTGGCGGATATAAAGGATTATGTTGTGTGAAGGTCGAGCAAAGACGAACGGGATGTCATTACCTTTATCCAGTTCACATTACAACCTCCCAACCTTTTGCCCATTGTATTGTGTTTGGACTTAATTGAGTTATTCAAAAATAGTTTTCACTACATTGATATTTTTGTTTGTATTTTAAACGAGAGCTATAAAAGTATGGTGAACTTAATTTAAAACCTGCGCCTTTATGAAAATGTCAATCCTTATTTGCCAAAAATTACTTAATACAATATAGACTATATCTTATATAGGACTACAATTGTACCGATTTAAAATGTCTTATCAAAAGATTTTCGAAAAAAATCATGTAAATATATTTTATAGGTTTGTCCAAAAAATTGCAAATCAAGAAAGTCTACACGCCTATCCGCACTTGCGGCAAGCGTTTTTTTGTTAAGTATTTTTTTTTTCAAATGCTAGCATTTACCACGGACCTTTTGCGTGGCGGGTACGTTATAATATTATTATTGTGTTGTTTTGCATGTGGTTGCTGTTGGGACAATTGGTGTTTTCCAACTTGTTGATACAACCGGCGACGGTGCCGCCGAAATGAAATTGCCAAACCGGGTTTGTCGAAACGAGTAGACAACGGAAAGCAATTAAAATGACTTTAAAAAAAAGCGAAAATAAGTCAACGACGTGCCTTAGATATGGTTAAGGTCGACTGGCATTTAGATTAGTATGGCAAGTCAGCAACAAAAATCATGTCACAACGGAATATAAATAAATAAAATTAAAAATCCTATATTGTGTTACCTAGTCTACTGGAAAAATACAATTAATATTATTAATTTTTAACAATTGTTGAACTTGTTTGTATCTACTCAAAACGAACTTAGACTCACAAACAGTCACATCCGGCGCGTTAAAATATTTCACAATACTCCACAAGTTTTTTATTATTAGACTACTTTTTTAACCGTTGACTGTGGACTCGCACATCGTGTTCACCGGTTTATGTGATCAGCCGCTTAGCAATGACTGTGATCAGTAATAATACATTTTTTTTTTAACAAAACATTTTCGCACCCACGGCCATGTCTATAATACTTTTTTTTTTTTGCAGAAAACTTTAATGAAAATTTATTCGTCATTTTCTTTTTAAATTTATAGTCATCTCAAAAGTAAAAAAATTATTATTAAAACATTGTTTCTACCTACCACACATGTTACTACTTAATCTACGACGCAAACGACTATTTAAAGTAATAACTAGTGTATACTAGTTACAAAGCTCAATAGAGTTATGTAATAATTTTTCAATACTAGGCATTTGTTTAAAAACTATAATAAATTAGCGTCGAACTTTAAATTTCCTCATAAATTAAGTTCTTAGCACTACACTATGTGTCGTTTGTTGTAAAAGTGAATTATCTTCTTGTAATTGAATTTTGGAATAATAAAAAATATGAAAAATTTAGAGTTACACCACTTTTACACAATAAACCACCCCGATATAATATACTAATAAGTAGGTATCCTATAATACAATCTATAATCGTTATAAGCATAACGCGGTGGTCGTATAGATAAGTAAAATTAAAGGAATATACATTTTTTTTTTAGGGTTTATAACTTTGATATTAACTACTCGCATCTAATCTATTACAATTAATATTATGTTTACTACACTTGTATTATAGCGGACAACAAAAGTCTTGCGAATTAATAAAGTGCGGATAAAGTCTGGTTTTGCAACGCTGCGATAATTTAATTGGTTTTTAATTATTAGGATAATATGTTTTTTATTATAATACCCCTGTTTTTTTTTCTGGTTAAAATATTAAATAAAAAGCGACTTTAAAGGTTTATTGGGTGATTTTTTTTTTATCTGCTTCCTCAAAAGGATAAAACCCAGAAAAATCAAGCCACATATTTTTTATGTTATAGCGTATGGTGAGATCACTTACGGGTTTGTATCCTGTAAGAGGAATCCTTGTTGTTGTTGTTGTTGTTAATGATAATGGCGTTTTCCTCTGGAATGCCGGAATCTCGTTCGATCATCTCTTCTTTTATGATCTTCGGTTCCATCGACTGCAACAAATTGCAAGTACTAATTACTATTTACTGCAGTTATTAGTTGCACAATTAGACCTCGCATTGCAGAAACGACGGCCAGTAAATGTAGAATCTATTTAAGAGGATATTGCCAGACAAAATTTCGACAAACCTCTTTTTTCCATAAATATTGCCTATACAAAACTCCTTGAAAACAGTATCTATCGTCGATAATATTAAATATGTTTACTTAACTTAGTAATAACCGTGTTTAACAAAGTTTAATTGGAATTTAAATTATCTTCAGAGCCGACATAAATATTATAGACGATGCAAATTAAATGATGATAATGGATAACGAATAATGTAATAAACAACTTGTTAATTAAGCTTTTCAAATGGTTGGCATTATATATTATGTATACGCCTGTATGTCTAATGCAAAACTCGGCGGATCCAACAAAGTTAACTTTTAGCGTTTCGACAATTGGACAAATAACTCTGCGCAACTGTATCAATATTCCGTACAGGCACATGAAAACGCACTTGGATTTCAATTAAGACCGCACTAACCGCGGTGGTAAACTATAGTGGTATACTATGTAGTAGGTAATCTAATTTCGAACAACGGTCAACGAATATTGGACAATTTTCATTGTAGTAACCCAACCCAGTTGCGTTGTAGGTTGTTTCACGCAAGGCCTTAAATATCTAATTTACAAAAAATGTGCTTTTTACTCTTACAATACTTTGTGGACTTTACAGAAACTTGGGTTCTGAGAGAAAGGACAACAACCCCCCCCCCCGGGTTAACAATATTAATCTTTGGATTTTAAATTTAGGGCGTTGTTGATGAAAATCGGAGGAGAAGGAGGCAGGGGAAAAAACGATTCGACGAAAATGGACTGTTTCGAATATTAACGCAAGTGGAAAGCGTTAGAAGGGGGGAGGGGGGACGCGTGACTGCTGCTGCGGTCGACTTAACGTTTCGCGGAAACATTGCGAATTTGATTAAAATCGCTTTACCGCAATATGGCGCGATCCTTAAAAAAAAAAATAGTTAACGATGATGACGCTTACGCTCGCACTACCTCTCCACCATATCTACCCCGTCAGGCTGTGTGTGTACACTTAGCCACTGCCGCGCGCTACACACACATTAATATTATATCATATCGACCGGCATATTATATTATTATTATATTATAATATACACATACAATATGTATATCACACGGTACTTTGCGTAGTCCAGTGGCACGTTCTGCGTTTTTCTTTTTTTCCCCTCTCCTCCTCCTCTTTCTGTATATTATTATTATTAGATAAACATTAACCAGCTGCTGTGGGTGCTTTCAACAAACGTTGACTGTGTGCGTATACTGTATACAAAAGAGAAATAGTCTGCGGGGCAGCGAAAAAGCGAGTGCGAGAATTGGGGGGATGGTGGAGGGGGGAAATGGTGGCTGGGGGGGACATCGTCAGTATGGAAAAAAGGACACATGTTTTCTATCGACCGTCGAGACGGGGGCGACCGCGTGTACAGGGTTCTGCTTCTGCTTTTGCTACCGCCGTCGCCGCCGCCTCTGCGTGCCACTCTTTTCCGTGTGTACGCACACGTACGACGCGACGCTTATTATTACCGATATTATTATTATTATACATCAGCGGACAGGTCGATACGCACTACGTATATATATATATGCATATCGCACACGTAGCTTTTCATCGGCGACGTCGAAAACCGATAACGCGTCGTGACCGTCGCGGCCCGTGACAACGGCCCGGTTGCGACGACAAGCAGAGCGTGAGACAGGAGAATATTATATATATGTATTTACACACTGGGTCGTCGTCGTCGTCGTCGGAGTAACGCCGTGGGAAAAACGACGAATTGCACAAACACCGAACGCGACGTTTATAATAATCTAAACAATCGCGGTCGTTTAATATGAGGTCCCGATATTTTACACCCCTCGTCGGACTTGCACTACCCTTCCCGGTGACGGCCGACTCTTAAGGCGGAACACGTGTTGTGCTCTCATCGCCAAACGAACGGGCGGTACGGAGAGAGGGAGGGGGAAAGGGAGGGGTGGAGAAAGAGAGGGAGAGAGAGAAAGAGAGGAAGAAAGAAAGAGAGAAAACAAAATTGGAAACAAAAATATATCAAACTTCTTTATACGAAGACGACGGCAAAAGTTGCTGTACGGTGTTTGTGCTTTAAAAACTACAAAAAATAAATAAATAATGCCTCGAAGAAAACCCATACTTCTTACTGTTTACTTAGGGTCAAACAAGTGGATCTTAGTAGGAACTGATGGCCGGCCAGTAGCCCGTGTCTGAGGTCGGACGCAACGAATGAGTAACAGGTTTATATATTAAATAAGCAAAGAGACTAAAATATATTTTATTAATTTTTTAAAGCAGGAATATTTTACTAAAAATTCTGACTGGTCGATAACCAGTTTTGACCAACTATTTTTTAAGTTGTAAGAATTTTAAAGTGAGGACGGGTTGGGGAAGTGCGCGCAGATAAAAATAATACTTACACTCCGCACCTTTCCTCCTGCCCCAAACTTGAAACTTCAAAAACTTCAAAAATAGCTGTTATCCAAAAGTGGTTATCCATAGGTCAACGTTTTTAGTGCATAATTGTCAATTTAAAATGCTAATGAAACGTATATGCGTTACCATTTGAGTTTTAAAAGTTGATATATAAAAAAAAAATCACAAAACAATACCGTCTACCAAAACCTAGGTTTAAGTAGAGGACACTTCACACACTTGGGAGCTAAAATATCACCTTCGAGAACATCTTCGAAGCCAGGAAACATTAATTGTCAACCTCGTTCGATACGCAGTTGTATACAAGTTTCAATAATTGTAGAACGTTAAAAATAAATGTGTCTGAAAAACTCACATCTGCATCAACGGCTGCTGCCAATATAGTAAAACCAATATTATACATATATATATATATATATGTAGACTATATATTATATAGACTGTATATTCGGTAAATCCAAGCTGACAAAATATACAATTTATATTATAACATGAGTTTTTTACCGGATTCGACCGGCATCGTGCACCGTTACCGTTATATAATACACTAATGACTCAAATAGGATATAGAAAAAAAAATTACAAAGCCAATACATATACATACATATATAGGTATTTTCTCAAGCATGTTTTCGGGAGGGGATCTACATTTTTAGATATACACCTAGGCGCAAGTATGGGGTGGGTGGTGAGGGGGGAGAAAGGTCTTGGGTTCTTTAAACAAATACAATCGACATTTTTTGAATTTTATTTGACGGTTGTCACAATTTCTGAAGAACTCTTTTGATTTTGAATTACCCAAAAACAACACTCACCAAAACACACTCAAATAAGTAATTCACTTGTTTAGACTTACATATATTTTTCGTTTGACCAATGTGTTCTTAATCCGTTGGCATATCATCGTTGTCACTTGTCTTTATTGTATAATAATATTATGCGGTAATCGGGGGGTTTCACACAAAGAACGCGGCCACCACTTAAGGCCTAAACGGAAAAGTTGAAATTTCGAAAACCGGCTACGACTAAGTGTGAGTATGTGCGTTACCTACTTACGGTTAACATTCACCGGCAACCGCAGCTAGGCGGCCGGGGTTGGTATTGTACTTGCCGGCACTTGTTACAACACTGTTCAAACGGGCACCTGTTCAAATGCTGGATTTTTAACGGTTTTTGGTTTTCGACAATATACATATATAGGTATGTATATATCTGTCATTGTTATAAATTTGTTCAGTCAAAGCGACGATCGAAATTACTGTCAAGTACGAATTTCGACCGTTTCGATGAAAATATTATATTATAAGCGGTGAATTTTAAAATAATTAAATTCTATCAACATTATTTGAATATGGAATATCATAGAAAAAAAAATAAAAACGACCACAGTAATCAAAATAGTTGATATAATTAGGTATGTGTAAAAATTAGATAATTATATCCGTTTTTATTTACTTTTCTATGAAAACCCAATTTGACATTCAATTCTCAATTTTTGGGCAACACGAAAAAATCAACTTTTTAGATTTCTAAACTCGACTTTAATGACTTTCTGTTAAACAAATCAATATTTTTCGTCCCATGTGTAGTAAGTATTCATTTCTTTACTTATAACCCCTAGCCATATTATTGTAAATCAAAAATATGCTTTAAAGAGCATCTACTCGCTCCTACGTTTTATTTAAGTATAGGCAATATTTGAAGAAAAAAACATTTTTGGTTTTAATCATTTTCCACCATGTCAATTTATGAATTTTGTTTTTAACTCTTACAATTTTTTTCTATAAGTAATTTTGGCGGTAATAAATAAATTACTTGCAGAGAGTAGTCCGATTACAATTTATGTATAAATATATATATTTTTTTTAAGTAGGAAGATAGATTCTTGCTAATATACCTAAACCAAAGAAAATAATCAATAAAAAAGTGTAAAAAAATCGGTCATAAGCAAACTTTTATTATGGGCACGTCTGGTTTAAATAAGAAGTATAAACGCGCGAAAATCTAAACACACTGAAGTACATTTACCATTTTTTTTATTTATTACCTCATTAACTATTAGACTGTTGAGCGCCAATGGGGTTTAACAAGATAACCATTGAAGCCCGTGTATAGTAGTCTATTTGAAGAAGATTTCGAGGTCGCCTGTGTTTGCTGTGAGTTTAAGACGCCGACACGGTAAAATGTGTTGTCTTTGTCTTTGCGCACAATCTTGTACCGCGCTTAACTGGCTTCGTTATCGCGTTAAACATATTATTTAGCATTTCCCCTCGTTATTCTACCCCCTCCCCCTTGGTTCACTCATAATAAATTGTATATAGTGCCTGTGTAACCGTAAAAATCCGCTAAATCCGCCTCTGCTCGTTAATTCGACAAAAAAATATTAAAATTTTGTACACGATGTACACTAATCTTCTAGTATAAAGTTGATATTTTGTTACATAAAAAAACTGTTAAAAAGAATCAAGAGTTAAGTTATAAAGTGGGCAACCTAATCCAATTATAAGGTAAAATATATTTATCATTTAAGACTTTTGATTTCCACCTTATAAATAAAAATAAATTGTATTTTTTTGACTTGAATTGTTTTAGTTTCGAACTTTTTATAGACTTAACGGTAAGTAAAGGAGCATTGGCGGAGATCAAGGGGGAGGGGGTGGGATATGCCAAACAACGTTAAAACTTAATATTAGCTGCGCTTTTCAAAATACCTACGTTTATTTTTTTAGCGATAGATTTGTTGTAAGTACATCAATGTATTTACATCACTAATTTGATTTACGCCAATGTAAAGGAGTGTTTTTTTTTTCTAATGTAATACTTACCGGTCGAGTGATGGCGGTCACTGTATTGTCGAATATAAGATGACTAAGATAATTATGTACTCGGAACTGTTTGTGTACGCGCGGATGGTCTCGATATTGTGTCCGGAAACAGACGGCGCGACGACACAGGCAACGCACGCAGGCTGCGGCCGGCGAACACTGTGTCAGGTCGCGTAATACCGGCGGTTAGAGCGTGCGAGCGATGTCGGCGGCGGCGGCGACCAGCCGGTCGTGTGAACATTTCCCGGCACGCCGACGCAATGCATAATATTAACACAGCCGGTCCAGACAGATACGTCGCCTCTGCCATTGACATTGTTAATTAAAACCGCGGATTTCGTCGAAACTACCGCCGCCGCACACTGCTATAGGTACCTACTACTACTACTACTACTAATAATAACAACAATAATAATATTCGTGCTGTAATAATATACAACAAAACGCCGCCGGGACGGGCTCACGCGCGCACCGCAATAGGTATACGCGGCCGCATTGTAACGGCAACGTAGAGACGACGTCCGCGGAGGTGCCTGGAAAGGACGGGCGCGTTTGAGCCGCAGGCCTCGGGCAAAGGGCTTATCGCGGACGTCACAGGCACGCGTTTTTACCGCCCCGCCGCCCCTCGTCCTGGCCGCCCCTATAATATAATAAACATAAACGGAGGCGAAAACCTGCGGGCCGCAAATATGTTCTCATTCCACTACGCCCGTCTCGAAAATGGTAGAGCGGCGGGTTTAGAAATTTGCAAAACGAACAAAAACACACCTGCCAAAAAAGCACGACAGTAGCGCACGTAAACGGGAACGCCGCGTTCCTTTTGATCGTCGAGAGCACAGCTTTCGGTAAATGCCAACACAACAGGTAGCTTTGTAAACGTTAACCATAAATACAAAATAATTATAAACAAGATTTAACATCCAGACAACAAAGAAATGGATTGGATTTTAATTATTAGATAAGTATTAAAACTTGATATTGTTTAAGTATTAAAACTTGCCGAGTAAAGTTTTTAAACTTTAGGGTAAACTTGGACACGATATAAATAGATCCGCCGATAATTTTTTTTGTTAAACAACACCAAAAATCTTAAAAAATAATAGAAGTTAATGTCTTATGAAGTATTATTTTGATAAAACAAAACTTTTCCGAAAAAATAACAATATAAACACAAGAATTATAATCTTCTAGAAACCTGTTATAAAAAAACAAAAATAATTTATTTATTTATTTATTTTATTTATTTATTTACTATAAAAAATAGTTTACGCCCATGGGGCAATAGAGCACAGGATAATATTTTTTTTTAAATTATTATAAATAATTACATTAACACTAATTAAAAAATTATACACAAATAATTAAACGACATTATTTAATGATCAATATAACAAAAATGTTCCAAAGATTTAAGAAGAACTATGTAAGTTTTTTTTATGTTGTTACTTCCATATGTCATCCTATTTAAATCTTATTCGGAAAACGTTGTCATCTATTGGGAAGAGTATAACGGGCTTAGAATAAGTTCCTAAGAATTGCTTAGGGAATATTCGTTTTAATTGTATATCTTTACATTTAACATACATTAATCATTTAATATACGTGTATTGATAATATTATAAGTTGGATAAACGTCTAATACATTATACATTTGTCCCTATCAGGAATAAATAGTAGTTAACATAACGGTGATTTATGAATTTACAGCAAGGCATATTGTGATTTTATTAGGAGTAGAACTGATCAGATTCTACCATTCGAAAGCCGCTCGCTTCTCCCCCAAATACTCAAGTCATACGAGTCACAAACATGAGCATTTTTACTAAAACAAAGATCTCTGCAAGGTTAAATTTACCATTTTATAAGTAAAAATAATTAGTACTTATTAGTAATAAGTACTAATTGTAATATGACGTCTACAGCTATCAAGTTATTAAAGCTAATCAAGCGACGAATTATGGAAAAACGAAAATTTGAAATAGAAAAACACGTCCCTAAACATTTTTATAAGTATTAAATATTATTACAGTATAAAGCTGTGTAACTAAGTAAAATATTTTTTAAAAAAATGTAAAAATAGAAAACAACACCAAAAAGATTAACTGCTTTTGGATTTCGGATTTGTTCCAATCCGAAAATAATTTATAGTAAAAGTTGAGCACTTTTTATTTTAATCAAAACATTTTACTTAGGTACACAACTTTAAATTGTAACAATATTTCGACGATTTTTGAAGTGGCTCAATGGCGTTTTTTTGTTTTTAAATCCGGATTCACGTTAGATCATTTTACATTTTTTTCTCAACCCTTTCGGTTCCGAGTTAAATTTAGAGGACTTTTTTTTGATGTGCACATTGTCACGTGCTTGGTGCCGGAAAGGGTTAAATATATTATGTTAAAACACACATTTAGCGTCATTGCAAAAATGTAAAGGAAACCGCTACCTGTTGATGATTCAAAAATCGCGGTAGTGTTTTTTTTTGTAAAAGTCATCAGTTGGTTTTTGTTTGTAGTCAAATTTTTCACTTGGCCATTAGTTATAGGTATTGCCGGCTTGGTGTGAGTCTTATGTATATAAATATATATATATCTTGTACAGTACATATTATAAGCGACGTGTGCTTGGCATATAAAACACACATGTCGGACGGAAAATTCGCACGAGCCCTTACCGGCGGCAGCTGCAACCCCCTACCCCTATCCTCTTTGGTGTACCCTTGGGGGCAAGAACAAAGGCCACGAAGACGGAGGTGAGGGGAAGTGAAGGAGAGGATTGGGTGAAAGCACCGAGCTTTGTACTTTGAAATTGTCACAGCTTACTGTGCTGCTGCTGCTGCTGCTGCTGCTGTGAGTATAATAATACAGCCCAGCTGCCTTTGCCGAAAACTTTTCCAAAGCTCGAGCCCAAAAGCTCAAAACGAAGAAATGCCGCTGATTATTATTATTATAATTATCACTGTGGTTATGAACGGTAAAAGCGATAAAGGTCTTGGCCAAAAACGTTATAGTTATTGTCTTTGACTACCTATACGCAAATATAATATACCTGTACAAGTTACAATACAACGCATGTACACCGAGTTATAGAAATTTTGATTTTGACATCCAATAAAAAATATTTAACAAATAACGCGTTTTTTTTTTTTGGAAAAATATGTAATCGGTTTGCGCTTTTTTACAGCTGTATTTTTTGGAAAAATATGTAATCGGTTTGCGCTTTTTTACAGCTGTATTTTTTGGAAAAAAACACATTTTTTCATCACTAGCGCTATTTAAAAAAAATTGCCTTTAATTGTCATAGTTAAATTAGCTGTAAAAAATATATAAATCAAATAGCTCGGCTCGGCGGAGTAGGTAATAGAGAGTAAGCTAATTTAAATTAGTAAAACGGAAATTAATTTGATTTATAGTAAGAAAAAAAAATTGTTTTATTTAATAAGGCACATTGTACAAGCAATTTTTTTTACTAAATCTGAACATTAAACTGAAATTTGTAAACATAATATATTATCTAACTTGATATTTCATAATTTTTTTATTTTTTTACTTCTATAACGCTAACAGGCCCTATTTTTGTACAAAAACATATGTTTCTACTCGGAACGGTACGTTGCTAAAAATAATCCCATTTAAGTTTTAAAAAAACATTTGGATTCTTCATAACTTTATACTGGGTTTCGGTCGAGGCAAAGTTTTTAGTTTTAATTATAATTTCCATGTGAAAAATTGCATGTTTGGGTAATTGATACAATATCAAGCAAGTGTCTTGATTAAAAATCTATAACTGTTTTAAACCACTGTCTACTTAATTTTTAGGTAAAGCTGTACTAAGAAAGCAAAGGGTTGTATTTTTAGAGGAAAAACCTTTATTAATCAAGACCGTAATTGCCAGAGAAAAAAACTAAATACCAATAAATTATCCTAAATACTGTACTCAGTATCTAAGTATAGTTTAAGCTATTTTTTGTTAAAATGTTTCTAATTTTAACCTTTTAAATACTTGTGTGTGTCTGGCGGCATTCTCTTAATCAACTTAATAGTTGTGACTTGTTTAATTCAATATAATAAAATATCTAGATTCTTTGACATGTCTGTTGTTCTATTTGTTATTATTTTATATTATAATAATATATAACCACAAGTGTTGCTCATGTTTTTTCTAGAAAATATTAATACATCATTAGATTAAATAAACAGATAAATAAACATTGGTTTACCAAAGTAGATACTTTATAATTGAAACATTATTTAATTTCCAACAATCAATATAATATTGATGTTTTTAATAATATTTAAGTGCATGATCTATTAGTGTATGCGTTAACAAAATATGTTCTGTGTTGTCATGTCTTACTACTAGATAGCGTACTGGTATACCAAGTGAATATCATAATATTATGTTTAAATATTATTATACATACTATACTTAAACAGCTGTCCGTAACCGTTTAAAAGGATTAAAGAAAAAGAGCGGATTGCTCGCACTAGTTAATTAAAGAATTTCAAATCTTTTTGAATTATTTGAAAGCTGCTTTGTTTCAACGCGTTAATTTTAATACATAAGTTATGGCCATTTCATTGATTATTTTCATTAATATTTTTGTTTGAAATAATAAGTATTACATTTTTAAATATATTTTCTGTATTTTTATTTTTTTTAAAGTTGTAACTGGAAGTAAAAAAAGACACAAGGTTTGATCTAATTGATTCCCCACGGATAGGCCTAAATAGGTTATGTTATTATTATTGTAGTATAACAATCAATACATCTTAACACCTTTGCACCATCTTGACCATCAAACAATTTTGGTTAGAAGTTATTTGTACATGTAGATTAAGTTTAATAAATTCCATATACAATAAGGATAATAATTAATAACAGTTATTAGCATTCTCAGAAAGATTGGCACCTTGTATATTTATATACATTTAATTAGTGAATGGTTATCTTAATCTACTTTAATGTTTATAATTTGTTTTTTTTTCAACCTCCATTAAACACAATCTATTAATTGTTGACTATTTACAGATTTACTGGGCTGATTTAACTGCTTACAATAACCAACAGGGCTGGTCGACCGTTTTCTCTTTCCTGATATTATTTCTGTTATCTAATTTAGAAATTATAATGTCATTCGCTTGACTGATCTTAAGTATTTGAACTTTTAATAATTAATGAG